GTCCCCCTGGAGCCCCCCTGAGCCCCCTTTGCTCCAGGCTGAGCCCCCCCAGCTCCCTCAGGAGTTCTCCAGACCCTTTCCCAGCTCCATTCCCATCCCTGGACACGCTCCAGCCCCTCCATGTCCTGCACTGGGGACCCCAAACCTGCCCCAGGGGTTGGAGGTGCCCCAGCAGTGCCAGCACAGGGGGTGATCCCATCCCTGATGATCCCATCCCTCAGGATCCCACCCCTGCTGATCCCACCCTCAGGATCCCATCCCTCAGGATCCCATCCCTCAGGATCCCATCCCTGATGATCCCATCCCTCAGGATCCCACCCCTGCTGATCCATCCCTCAGGATCCCATCCCTGATGATCCCACCCCTGCTGATCCCATCCCTCAGGATCCCATCCCTCAGGATCCCACCCCTGATGATCCCATCCCTCAGGATCCATCCCCCAGGATCCCCTCCCTGTTTTCCCACCCAAGGCAGGGCCCAGCTCCCTTTCCCAGGGCCAGGAGGTCCCTCCTGGGCTCTCACCTTGAAGATGCTGAAGAGCCCCACGGACTTCTTGAACACGTCAGACCTCACAAAGTCCTCCAGCTTGGCCAAGGTCTCCTCCAGGTGACTGATGGCACAGATCCCGAAGCAGGAAGCCAGTCCCTGAGGGGAAGCAGGGAAAAACCCATTAACAGCCAGCAATTAATTCAGCAGCCCCAGCTGACGCTCCGAGAGCCCCTTTACAGCTTTAATTCCCGGCACCTGCGCTGTGCCGAGGGAATTCCGGGCACAATGGCCCCGTCCCTGCCCCGGGTGACAGGCTGGGACGTGCACAGACAGGCACAGAGTCCCGGTGGGAATTGGGAACGGGGCAGGATGGGCAGGTCCTGCCAGTCCACGGTGCCTGAACAGGCTGGGCTGGGAATCCACGGACAGTTTATCCAGGAGCAGCCCCAGCTGGAGTGGGATGAGCTGGAGCAGAGCCAGGAGCAGCAGCAGCTGAGGGCAGAGCTCGGCCAAGGGCACTGGGAGCTGGGAATGTGCCAGGAGCAGGGCTGGGATGGGCAGGAAAAGCTGGATCCCAAACCCCTCAGCCCCGGGGCAGGGAAAGGGGAAAACGAGCCGGAGGGGGAGAAGGTTCTGCAAAGCTCCAAAAAGTGGATGGCTTGGAAATTCCTCCCTGGGAGGGTGGGGAGGGGCTGGGATGGAATTCCCAGAGAGGCTGTGGCTGCCCCTGGATCCCTGGGAGTGTCCAAGGCTGGGTTGGAGCACCCTGGGACGGTGGGATGAGACGGTCTTTAAAAGCCCCTTCCCAGCCAAACCATCCTGGAATTCCACGATTTTGGTAGGGACGGGACAGGGGGATGATGGATTTAGACTGAAAGAGCTGAGATTCAGATCAGAGGAAGAGAGTGTTTCGTGCTGAGGGTGGTGAAACACTGGAGATCACAGAACATGGAATGGCTCAGGCTGGAAAATCCCCCTGAGCCCACCGAGTCCACCCAGCCCTGCCCCTGTCCCCAAGTGCCACCTCCCCAGGGACGTTCAATCCCCCCAGGGATGGGGATCCAGGGCTGGGCAGCCCCTTCCCAGCAGGGAATTTTCCCAAATATCCCACCTGAGCCTCCCCTGGGGGAGAGCTCGGCGTGGCAGGACCACCCTCCACATCCCACCAGGACACGCCCTGGGATATCTCAGCACAATTCCTCACCTCCCTCTCGGCCTCCTCCTGGTACCTGGCTGTTTCCAGGAGCTCCTGGAGCTGCTTCTGCACCAGCTCCTTGCTGGCACAGGCTCCCAGCGTTGTCCCGATGCATTTATAGAGGAAATTCTGGAGGAACACCAGGAATGTCACCGGTGGGACCTGCAGAGCCCACAGCTTGGACCTGACCGGCACAGCCAACGCCTCCACTTCCCTCTGACGGTCCTGCTTCCCTCCCAGCCCCTTTTCCCAGCTGGATCAGCCCCCCAGGGCCTTCCCAAGCCTCGCCTTTTCCAGGTGGAAGCCGTTGTAGCTGCCCAGCTGGCGGCACATCTCGGTCACCAAGGGGCAGCTCCACGCGTCGCCCGGCACGGCCGCCAGCGAGTCCTGCAGGAACTGGGGGGGGGAAAGAGCCCTCAGCATCCCAAAAAACCTGCTCCCGGCATCACAGCCCTTCCCCCCGCCTCCCACATCCCCAGGGAAAGCTGCTGGACCTTTGGAATGGGGGGCTGTCAGCCCTGGATCCCTTGGAAAGCTGCTGGCCCTTTGGATTCTCCACCCTGGATCCCTTGGAAAGCTGCTGGCCCTTTGGATTCTCCACCCTGGATCCCTTGGAAAGCTGCTGGCCCTTTGGATTCTCCACCCTGGATCCCTTGGAAAGCTGCTGGACCTTTGGAATGGGTGGCTGTCAGCTCTGGATCCCCATGGAAAGCTGAGGGCCCTTTGGATTCTCCACTCTGGATCCCTTGGAAAGCTGCTGGACCTTGGGATTCTCCACCCTGGATCCCCTTGGAAAGCTGAGGACCCTTTGGATCCTCCACTCCAGCTCCAGTGGCTCCTCCCTGTCCTATTTTAACTCTCCCCAATTAAGCAGGAGAAGCTCCTGGGACTCTGTTTTTAACTTTCCCAGCAGGAACTGCACATCCCGCCCCTGTGCCGACCTGGATCTCCTCCAGAGCCAAGAGCCAGGGAAAATCCTGGATCCCTGCCCTCCCACCAGCACAGGGACCCTCACCTGCAGCAGCCTCTCTTCCCATTCCTGCTGGGACAGGGACTTCTCCGTGTTCTCTAGGAGAAAGCACAGTTGGATACTGGTTACACTGGTTACACTGGTCATCCAGAGGCACCTGGACAGGCTGGATGGGTTGGGAATGTCCAGCCTGGAGAAGGGAATGCTCCAGGGAGACCCTGAGAGCCCCTTGCAGGGCCTGAAGGGGCTCCAGGAGAGCTGGAGAGGGATTTGGGATGAGGGCTGGAGGGACAGCACCCAGGGAATGGCTGCCCAGGGTTAGGGGGGAGATTGGGAAGGGATTCCTGGCTGGGAGGGTGGGGAGGGGCTGGGCTGGAATTCCCAGAGAAGCTGTGGCTGCCCCTGGATCCCTGGA